GTGACCATCTTTGTCTTTTTTTTTTTTACCATTGTTGATTTAAAGTCTGTTTTATCTGTTATAATAATAGCTACTTCTGCTCATTTTTGGTTTCCGTTTGCATGGAATATTTTTTTCCACTCCTTTACCTTGAGTCTATGAGAATCTTTGTGAATTAAATGGATTTCTTGGAGACAGCATGTATTTGGGTTGTGTTTTTTATCCATTTAGCCAATCTACATCTTTTAAATAGGGGCATTAAGGCCCTTTATATTCAATGTTATTAATGGTATTGATATGTGAGATATTGTTCTGGTCATCATTTTGAGTGTTACCTAGTTACTTTGTTCTCTCCCTTGTGTTACTGTTTTATAAGAACTGTGAGCTTTAACTTTGGGGTGTTTTTACACTGATGGGCATTGATTATTGTGTTACATGTATAGAACACTTTTAAGCATTTGTTGCAGGGCAGGTCTAGTGGTGACAAATTCCCTTAGTATTTGCTTATCTAAGAAAGACTTTATTTCTTCTTCATTTATGAAACTTAGTTTTGTAGGATATAAAATTCTTGGCTGGCCGTTCTTCTGTTTAAGGAGACTAAAGACAGGACCCTATTCCTTCTTGGCTTATAAGATTCCTGTTGAAAAGTCTGCTGTTAGTCTGATGGGTTTTCCTTTGTAAGTTAGTTATGTTTTCACCTCACAGCTCATAGGAGTTCCTCCTTCACATTGACTTTGTCCAGTCTGATGATGACAATAATCCCTTATGTCTCATATACTTTGTTTATTCACCTGATTCTTTGTTCTTTGTTTTTGACTAACTTGGTTAATTTGAAAGAGCTGTCTTCAAGTTCTGAAATTCTTTCTTCTGCTTGGTTGAGTCTATTCTTAAAACTTTCCACTGTGTTTTGTATTTCCCTAAATGAATTTTTCATTTGCAGAAGTTGATTTTGTTTTTTTTTTATATGTCCATCTCTTTAGTAAGTTTTTCATTTATTTCCTGAATTATTTTTCTGGTTTCTTTGAGTTAGGAGTTGGTTTTCCATCTTCTCTTGGATCTCATTGAGCTTTTTTACAATTAGTATTTGGAATTCTTTATCTGTCATTTCAGCAGTTTCATTTTGGTCGTGATCCATTGCTAGAGAGCTAGTGTGACCCTTTGGGGGAGTCCTTTCACTCTGATTTTTCATACTTTCAGAGTTTTTGCTCTGATTCCTTCTTATTTGGAGAAGCTGTTGCTTCTTATTTTTGGATTTTCTTTTGTTTGGGTGGGGGATTTTTAGCCCTCCCTCTTAAGGGTGTGCCAGTAGCATATGTTGGGTAAAGACTTTTGATTCATCCTTTTATCAGGAACCCACCCACTCCCACAATAAGTAATCCACTTCCAGAAAAATGACATTAATCCATTCATGATGGCTCTGCCATGAGGTGAACTGAATTAATCCATTCAATCGTCTCTCAAATGTTCCTCCTCAACACCGTTATATTGGGGATTAAATTTTCAGCACATGAACTTTAGGGAACACATCCAAATTATAGTACATTATTCAGCAGAACTTTATTATTGCTATCTTATGAAATTATGTCAAAAGAAAAAGAGAAAAGATAACCCATAATCACACTACCCTCAAGTAACCACTCTTAATATTTTAATGTACTTCAGTCTTTTCTTGTGGATATAAATTTGCAGAGTTGTGATTATACCCAATATACAATTTTATCATGTTTTCCCATTTACCATTATAAGTATTTTTAATGTTTCTACACAGTCTACACATCATTGTTAATAGCTGCACAATAGTTCACTGAATTAAAGTGCTTTATTTGCTTAACTATCCTGTTATCTTTAAACAATTTCTAATTTATTTTTACAATAAATATGCACATCTTTGTGATTATAGTATTTTTTTTTCACATCTTGAACTCTTACATAGAGTTAAAATTACTTGGCCAAAACAACTTTTTTGTTTTTAGTCTCTTGACATGTATTTCCAAATAGATTTTTTTAAAAGAATACATCAGTTTACTCTCCTGCTGGTGTACATGAGGCCCATTTTATCATTGTTATCTTGAGAGCACAGCTGTGAAAGGTGGGAATATGGGACCAGAAGGAACACAGCCCTGAACCAAAGCCTGGGCCACGCATTCTGTAAAGTGCCTTGGTCCTCACTGGTATCCCGGTGTTATGTTGCTCTGTTTTCTTACAGACTGAGCAGTTGATAACTCTGTGGGTCCTCTTTGTTTTCACCATTGTTGGAAACTCTGTCGTGCTGTTCTCCACATGGAGGAGGAAGAGGAAGTCAAGAATGACCTTCTTTGTGACTCAGCTGGCCATCACAGGTAGGTCACTGAAAGAGGAGGAAGCTGTGTGCCAATTCCTATGGCCTCCTGCTTTGAATTATTTTACCAATAGAAATGTAATGCAAGCAGTCCAAAGGCATGAGCAAATTTTGGAATAATTTCTGTAGGGATGTAACACTCATGTTTGAATATTTCCACTGGCATATTTAACATATCTCAATGTCTGCAAGGTTCCATTATAAAAATAACTCACTACTAATGGAAATACCATTATCAGCACCATCAGAGGGTTTGATATGGTTTCACTCTTAAACACAGCAACCTCCATAGTTCGCTGAGGCGACATTACTATATCATCCCATATTGTGAGCTTAAGGAATATATCGGAGAAAATGCACTAGAATTATCTCTACTCAGTAATAAATGTGAAATCTCAAATACTTTGCAGATTAAAGCCTACAAACATTGCTTTTGAAATGCAAATGATGTGTAACACCACTTCTAGGATAGTACAGTGAAATAAAATAATCTCCAGGATTAAGATGCTTAAATGTGGGCTTTGGAAATGACCATTTCAGGAGTGTGAGCACAATACACCTAGAGGAGGAAAGGTGGAAATATTCCCCAGGAATAAAATGATCGGTGAAAGAAAGACCCCCACAGGGATGGGTAGAGGCCCAATTGAAAGAGTTCATGTTCAAAAGGAAAAGGAAAACACAACCAGGGAGAGAGTCCTGTTCTGTGGGCCAGCGAAGAAAGTGGGCAAATGGGATTCACAGACAGTCCTGCATAAGCCAGGCTTGGAGTCCTGAGCTCTGGGAGCAAGGTGCTCTTATATTAGTTTAATTTGGATCAAACCATAGGAAAAATGCAAAAATTAAAAAAAAAAAAGTGTTAAGTGCCTACAAGGAGAGATGGTAGACGACTTTCAGAAAGGGCTGTTTGGTAAATTTCATCTCATTTGCGGTAATGACAGTAGCATCCTTGGGAATTTAGTCTTGAGCCACAATATGAAAAAATATGACACTGTAACTTACAAGAGAACCTTAGCCATACATTGTTGGTGATGTTAATGGAAAAAACCCAAAGTCTGTGAAATAATTTAAAGAGGCTTATTCTGAACTGAGTGTGTGACTGACAAGCCCAGAGCGCATGTTTTCAAGAGGTTCTGAAAAAATGTGCGCATGGTAGCTGGCTTCCAGTTTGGTTTTATACATTCATGGAGACAGGAATTACATGTAAGATTGCATAATAAGTGGAAGGAATTCATTGATTTGGCCTGAAAAGGTGAGACATCTCCAAGTGGGGGTTTATACGTTATAGGTGGCTTTAAAGATTCTTTGATTTATATTAATAATTGGTTAAAGAAATGAACCTTTGTCTAAAGGCTTGGAATGTTTTAAGTTAAAATAAGGCTGTCTGTTAATCAGAGACAAGCCACTGGGGACATTTACCAAAACTTAAGTGACCTGTAGTAAAGTGATGGCCTACAGGTGTGGTTTAAACTTCGTCTTGCATAGCCTTGGGCTTGTAAATGATTTATTAATAGTATCTTGTTATAAAGAGAGCAGAGACGGAGGAGGCATAATGAGGTGTGTCTGATCTCCCTTCTCATGGCTGGCAACTTAGTTTTAAGTCTGGGGTCTCCTTGGCCAAGAGAAGATCCATTCAACTGGCTTGCGGGGGTTTAAGATTTTATTTTAGTTCAGAATAACCTGAAAATCCCCCTTTTTCTATTTAACAAAGTGAAGCAAGCCCATCTGCTTGAGCTGGGCTACAGTGCCCAGGGTGAAAATCAAAGGCACCACTGAAAATTATAGAAAAAGTAAGAGGAGCCTGAGTCACAGGGGTGGAACTTGTGATGGGGAAAGGCTCCTTTAATCCTTCCGACAAACGGGAGTCCCATCTTTCACTCCTATGATTGTAGGAGTAGAAGATAATTAGTATTATCCAGCAAATGCTGAGATGCAAAATCTTTGGATGAGGGTACCATAGCCTACTTTTGTTATATTTCTTCGGTTGTGGTGCTATAACCCACATTCTGTGGAACCATGTATTCTTTTAGAGTGTAAGGATTAGAGGTGGGAAGGGTATCAGCTTGGAATCTAAAGTTTCCTCACAAATAATCAATAAATGAATAATTGAAATGGTACCATCTATTATCAGAGAGACAAATTATGTGTTCTATTCTAATTCATAGTCTGCTGTATTAACCTGGGCTTAAGTTCTAAAGAATGTTCTAGACAGTTTTTTTGTATTTGTTGATTCCTTCTGGAAATTCCAAGGAGTCAGGTCAAAAGGATTTCAAGTGAAGAAGAGTCCTCAGTGAGAAAAGTATTACCAAAGGTCCAGCATTGAAGCTCAAGGGTCTGAAACTGAACTTCTTATATATTAATGTTAAAATTTCTTCCATACACATTTCACCGTGATTGAAGATCCTTTGATAGAGGAGGTGAGAATAATGGCTGAGTCTTGAGCATGTAAATAGCAGTTGCTCAAGCATTACTGAGGGACCCTATTCTTTGATATTTATATAAATTGGGTTTGAGTCCCCTATCCTACATCTATGTACTCCTCAAGATTTCCTCAAACTTTCTGGGCCTTGTATTCTTATTTATCATTTTAGATTCTTGTTTCCTACCTCCGGTAACTCCTGCTGTCTCTCATGGGCGTCTCTCCTTCCCTGGTTCATCTTTGTTTTGTTCTATGCTGTCCCTAAGAAGGCACCCAGCCCTCTTTTTCTTTATTTTCTTTAAAATCATCCACAGAAACATTACTTTATATGTTTAAAAAACTTTTCTGAACATTTCAGGCAACATAAACATACTATTTTGTAGAAAGGCAAACACCTGTCTTAAAATTGATTATTTCATATTCTCAAACCATTTAGCTGCCACCAGAAATTCCTCAATATTACCTTGCTCCAGCCTTGTGTCTTGTCTTTATTTTCCTACTTTCTCTCTCTTCTAAAGGTTTACTATCTTGCACTAAGGATCTTTTAGTTTTCTTTGCTTTTTTTGTTTGTTTGGTTCGTTTTGTTTTTACTCCTACCAAACTGTGTGAACTTGGGGACCACATATATTCCAAAAATCAAATGTCAGCCTAGTTTTTTTTTTTTAACAAAGGAAGTTGCTCCCTAAAAAAGAACCATGGAACCAATAACAATGATAAACAGACAAACAAACATGCATGCTCATATTTATATTTACATGTGCCATGGCTAAATAAACTAGTCTGAATTATATAAAACTATACGATACACAGTGATAGATTAAGAATATATTATGTGATCAGCTTTCAAAAGTTTTAAACTCGTTCATTTAAGACCAATACTCCTATCTATAATATAATAATTGGAAAATCTGGACAAAATTTAAACACTCATTAGAAGGTATCACATAGCTACCAAAACAGCTAAGCCTTCGGGGGCCAAGATGCCATAGAGTAGAGAAATTCAAAAGTTAAACACATTATTTGACTCTATTATTCCCTCAAAGCATTAACTGATTTAAAAGCAGAGGCTAGAAGGCTGAAAACCTGAACAGAGCTTTTAGCAGTTTCATTGAACTTGGGGCAATGATTAATCTGCCAAGGCATAGTAGCTTTGGTAAAGACTCTTGATTTTCTGTTGGGACTGCTGAAGAGGTATATCCTACAAGCAACAGTGAACTGAAAATAGGTTAACCCTCACAAAGACTGAAATACAGCTCAAAACCTGAATGGAGTCAGATCTACCCCTGCATGTACCCAAACTGTCTGCCAGGGCAAAAGTAATTTCTCTTTGGAGGAATATTGCATTATCAATACTACCAAATTAACTTTGATTTTTCATGACCAATGCTCAATGCTTGATTAAAAAATAACTAGGAATTCAAAAAGATAAGAATTGATCAAAAATAATAAGAAATAAAGATGACAGTACTCCATGGTATATACATATACCACATTTTATTAATCCACTCATGTATTGATGGACACTTGGGTTGTTTCCACATCTTTGCAATTGTGAATTGTGCTGCTATAAAC